CAAACTTTATTAAATAATGTTACTGACACCCCTGAGTTCATTTTTCTGCAAACCAACTGTCAGATGATCATTCATACGGTTTTATAGGAGTAGCTATGTTAGTGGAGTTCATCTCTAAAATGCACATTCGATTGTACATTCCATACGTTGCAGCCTAATAAATGATCAGGAAACATGCATTATTAAGGTGTACAGTCCTCGTATACTAATGCAAATCGTGTATCGATGTGGTGTACTTAAAATGAGTAAATCAAAGAGATATTCAATCAGAGAAGCTCCTACATCAGAGCTGCTTCGACTTCAGCAACACTGCTTGAAAGTAAATCACGTGTTGTCAACAGTTTTCAGAGCATAGATATATATTCAATCAGATTAAAATCTGTTCAGCACTCTGACCATATCATTCACTTGAAACAGGAAGCTGTTAACCCGTTAATGTGATGGAGGCTTGCTTTGCCATTCATTAGAAGGAAGTTCTGACTAACTGCATCTCCGTATGGTAACACTAATGTTGTAAGACTGCATTCCTATACAGTAGAAAGTTAATTGTACTGTATGTTAGTTCATAACGTTTAGAGTAGCCGTCAGTAATGATCCTTTCTCACACTAGTATGCCATCCCACCATATGCATGTCTTTCCTCAATGAAATTGGAGTTGGATTAGTTCCAAACACTCTCCAAATGGATACGTGTCTTGCATGACTGCTGTATGAAAGGGATCTTTTGATTAACAAGATATTCATTCACATGTACCTCGATCACGACACATTTTCTTGACATCACTGATAGCAGCCTATCTTGTAGCGATGGGTTAAAGGAACGTACATTGTTGGTCGTCTGACATAAAGACCTTATAACCTTATAAAGTCTGTTTCTAACCAGATTATTTCTGTCTTATAGTCCAGTTGCTGCTTTGAATTTTGTTGGTTCAGTTGGGAAGTGGAGACCATCCGGTTTCATTGGACCCGTTTAGTCAAACAGTGGTCATCTTGCGGGATTGTTAACAATGGTCTGTCCTTTCTAGGCCTCTGGTCAATTGTATAAGTAGATATCCTAAAAGTGAGCCCACATTCTGTTATCCACACTTTTGAGACTTGTATCTATTCTGCAATGACTTGTGTTTGATCGTTTTTTGGCCGACCTATTGCGCTTTATAACATAAAAGTGTCCAAACATCTTTTTTTTTGGAACCCTTTAACGCTGATTTGTTTTTTTAAATGCTAATTGAGAACACACACTGTGTTTTCTTCATTTTTAAAAACAATTGAAATTTACATATCAGATCAATGATCATTCACTTGTCACTTATTTAGCATCAAAATTAATTCATAGATGCTATTGACATTGTCCAATAACGATAGTTGTGCCTTGTTATGTCTAGAATATAAGAACTCTGATTAACCTTTAATTCTTTTGAGCAGAGCAAAATAAAAGATGTCATAAAAGAATGGTGCTGTCATCTGTAGGGAAGTAATTAAAGTATATTAAATTAAGTAGTACAATCCTGATAGTACATTTCGACATTTCAAAATAGATAATCAGTGATCAATACTCTCAATAAAATAATAAAACTATGATTTATTAGTAGCGAATTGCTTCAATATCCCACTCGACAATGTTTTCAACATTATTTCAGCATGTACATAAAACATGTAGCGTCTGTTTAAGTGTTTATATGTTAGGATTTCTGCTCTTTCCGTTTTGCTCTTTTCTTGTTTAAAATTATATATATATGTCCTTTTGTCAGCTGTTATGTAGTAGCTAAATTAGTGTAAGCATTTAAAAAGGCTCAAGGCCGAAAATAGGGCCAAAATTTTGCGGCATGTTGCTAAAACAGCTGCAAACATAGTGACAGTTCATAAGACTCAGTGTAAAGGCTCTGGATTGAAGATGTGTGAAATTTTCTGTGCAGAGCAGGATCCCTTGGTGATGTAGGGTCAACCATCTTCAAACTATCCCTGTCGAAAAAATAAAGCAGAGAATAAGAACATGAGATATTCTGAGCATAGAACTTCTCTTCACTGTTCAAGAGGTGGAAGAGAAGATGCAGGAGGTGCTCAGTGACTTTATACTCCAAATCTTCAGCTGCTTTAGATGCGGATTGAAAGTCAGCTTAGTACTGAAGATTAGTCTCAAGAACTTATTCTCTACCAACACAGGAATTAGTGTACGTCTTAGATGGCTCTCGGTATCAAGGTGCAATCCCCATTGCTAGAAGAAATATATCTTCAGATTTTAATAAGGGTTGTTTAGAACTACTGCTAAACATGCCACATAGTCAATCACTGACAAGAAATCTGAAAGTCGTCAACATAGAGGCTATTCATAAATATTAAAGGAAAGTATTCAGTGATAGAATTGATCTTAGTGCTGCTATAAAGTATAAAAACCCAATACACAGCCATGAAGTACTCCAAGCTCCTACTTGAAATATTAAGATAGCATTGATACCATAAAAACTCAGAAGGACGTAACAATTGAAATGTTACCAATAAAAATGAACAAATGGCTGTACATACCACAAACAAGGAGGGCCTTTAAAATACTGAATCTGCATTCAGTTTTCTGAACCTTTTTCAAGATAAAACAAATATAGGTAAAAGATATTCCTTCTTAGAAAACAGGTGGAGAGTAGAATGGTGAAAAAAAAAGGTCTTCAAGGGTGTTGGCAATCTCCTGTAAATCTGACATTGTTGGTGACTTGACTGTATAAGATTGAAATACTTGTTTGTTTGTTTGGCCCTCCAGTGGCACAGCGGTATGTCTGCGGACTTACAACACTAGAAATCGGGTTTTGATACCCCTGTTTGTTTATTTATTTATACATCCCTCCATCCATCAAATACGAATCCACCGTATTAAGAAACGAAGCTATTATACTGGGTCACTCATTAACAGTTTACGTAAAATAAATTTTTGCATTTAAAATAGTGATCCAACTAGTGATTTAAAATATTTCTAGCAGGGTTCCTAGTAAATCAAATATCTCTGAACGTTGAAATATTTATATCTTTAATGATACACAACATATTGTCACTTCTTTATCTAAAGACATTTAGGTGATGTCGAGTGACAAATTGTGTAGGTCATACAAGTTCGTTTAATTATTTTATCTCTTAAAACACTTGCTTCTTTCACAGACGCAACTATTAATACTGACCTTGATCGTGAATAAAAGTCATTCATTTTGAATTATAAGTGTTCACAGCGAAGAAAATCAGTGACGTGCTTGACGTGATTATATGTGATATTTAGCAATAATTAAATAGTCCCTTTGTTTAAATTTCTCGTGAATGGAAGTTAAATCTATGTATTTCAATTGTTTAAGAATTAATATTTAAATATATAGTTATCAAATTAGTTCTTCATTCGAAGCGAATTTACTCGTATGAATATAAGCTATGCAATACAATATGGCGTTGCTCACAATACTTGCGATATATTAGATTTTCAATTGAGGAACAGGCAACCCAGTAGTAATATATGTAATAAATAAGGTCTTTAATAATTACAGTAATTGTCACCACTAAATCCTATTTTGTCTGCCTGAATTTCACTGTTTTGATGTTGTGAATATTCTTGAATTCCAAAATGTTTAAATTTCAGCCCAAGGGCTAAAAAAATTCTCAAGTTTCAGATCGATTCTGCAATATTTTAATAATTTCTGTCTGTGTATTTTGATTAAACATATATAAATAATATCTCACAATAAAGTTGTTGTTGTTTGTAATTAAGCACAAAGCTACACGATGGGCTATCTGTGCTCTGCCCACCACGGGTATCGAAACCCGGTTTCTAGCGTTGTAAGTCACGCACACACACAAAATAGATCATCTTTATTGTGAGAATGCCCCCCCCCCACCCCACACACACACAGTGGCACAGCGGTATGTCTGCTGTTAGCATCCATGACCCAGAGTTGGCTGGCTGTAATTTTTTGTATGGTAACTAAAAGTTTGTTTTAAGATTTTTCCCTGAGAAGGAGGACAAAAACACCCTGAAATAAGTTACATTTCCACTTTTTAGAGATATTTGTCTTACATTACCCTGAGTTGGCCAGCTCGATTATCGTATTTTTTGTATGGTAACTCAGTAACTGGAAACTGTCCGACGCTGTGCTTGGGTTATTTTGTTTTATGATTTTTCTCCGAAACGGAGCGCATTTCCACTTTTTCGTAGACGTTTGGCTTTGAATTTTAAGACATGAGTACTTAATCAGTAACATCCAATAATTAACATCCACAAAGCAGGGTATGCAATTAGCATCTAATGAAGTCATTAGGAATTTAATAACAAATGACAAAAGAAGGGAGAACATAATCTCAAATTGTCCTTTTCACAGTTTTTGCTTAATGGGTACCTTCAGCTAGTAGTTATAAAGGTTCAAGGTGTATATTGACTTTTTAAATTTTAGTTAGATTTTTTTTATACTTTTCATATTATGCAGAGCTGACTGGAGAGTTGATACCATATCTAGAAATTATGAGTTTATGACAGTATTTGTAGTTTGTGACGCTATACACTCTTGAAAGAGAACATATTCCGATACCTCGAAATTTATTTTCTAGAGATATATTAATTGCTATTCTACGTAAGTTGGATTTCAGCAATACAGGTGGCGCTAATCCGCTAACATTTTCAAAATTAATTTTGCGGGTGGTTCTGCTGGGATTTTACAATTAATTAATGTACTTACTTGAATAACTTCTTTCAGTTTTCCCTAATTTTTAGAGCAACTATTGTAGTAGACATTACGGTTAGTGTTAATAGAGAGCACTGAAAATAATGTTGGAAGAAAGTCTAGAACTAGTCAGTAAGTACTAAAGCAGTATAATTTCAAACGTAACTTACCACTCGCTAGTATTATTATTACTAGTAGTATTAATATTACTCGCACTATTATGATAGTAGTGGTTAAGATAGTATTCAGTAAGTAGTACTATTACTAGTAATACTAACGTTATTAGTACTAGTAGTAGTAGTACTACTAATAGAAATAGAAATTTATAGAATGTAACATCTGTTGATGATTATTAGTAATACTAATAGTAATAATAATATACTATTAGTTACACTTACACTATTACAGTGGTAAATTTCTCTATGATGAGGTAAGATTAATTATTAGTGAATGGGATAATAAGTTAAAACTAATTAATAAAAGGTGACGTAATTGTGAGGTAGATTTGGGAAAATTTGAAAAATAAATTGCTTTTAAATTTAATTCAAGGTAGGTATCTTTCTAAAAATAAAAAGTGAGTAACAAAAGAGATTAAACCTAATTGTCTTACTAAAGATAAATGATAAGTTACTTTTATTTTAAAGAGGTTTAAATTGACAGATAGGATAAAAGATTTACAGAAAAGCTAGGGGTTTGGTTAGAAAATATATTGATAATGTTAAATTTTATCTTAAAACTAATAGCAAGGATTTTTTTCAGTTATGTTCAAAGGTAAGCAAATTGTTAAAATGAGTATTGAGCCCTTAAAAGGATGCTGATGGCAAGGTTTTTGTTGAAGACTATGAGATGGTTGAGCTTTTACAAGAGAATGTGTTGGCAGTATTCTTGATCCTTAGAATTTGACAGGAAATAATGGGATTGGCCTTAATCATGTAGATATTAATCCCTTTGTTGGTAATAAACACCAAGGTCAGACATTATTTTTCCAAGGAGGCTGAAGACCAGATATGCAAGTTGACCTCAAATGTTTGGTAGGTGAACAAATAGTGGACATTTACCTAAGGATTGCAGAGGTACTAATATTACTTGTATTTTTTAAATGGGAAGATAAGAGTTGCAATGAAAATTATAGATCATTTAATCTTACTTCTATAGTGGAAAAAATTCAATAGTTTGATAAAAGAAGTTTTGAAATATGATTTAGTAAAATATGATATAAAGGAAGAGCAACATTGATTCACTAAAAGGAAATTGTTATTTTACTAATAAATTTTTTGAACATATTACATGTTTTCTGGATGATTAAAATGTGTGGACTAGGTGTACTTAGATATATAAAAATATTTTGATAAGGTGCCACACAAAAGATTACCGAAGAAAATCACTGGTGGAGGATTGGTAAAACACTAGTAAATTAGATAGTTGGATGAAAGAAAGGAAAAAGTTACTAATGAAGCCCAGTGAAACTATTCCCATGTTATTAGTGGAGTACCTTAGGTATTAGTGCTTCAGCTTTTGCTTTTTCATACTTACATTGGTGATATTGTTAAGGCTTGGCATAATTAATTAATAAGTAAAGTTTACAGATGATATTAAATTCTTGAGTATTTCTAGCTGTATTGAAATACTACAAAATAACTTGGATCATAATTTAGTATAAATGGGAAACTACTCAAAAGCATATGTAACTGAAGAAAAAGGAATTGGCATGGTGATATTAAGGTATTGGGTGTTGCTGCTTTTCAAAAGGATTTAGATCATTTAGTGAGTTGGGCAAATAAATAGCAGGCAGGTTTTAATTATAATAAATGCAAAATAATTCATGTAGGTTATCATAATTTGAATTATAAGTATAATTTGGATGGGAATAACTAACAATGTTAAGAAAGAAAGGGATCTTGGTGTTGTGGTTCAGTAGCAGTAATGGGAATAAAAGATGAAAGAAAATTACACAAACAGGTAAAAAAAAAATAGTATATATAGATAGATGTACAAACAAACAAAATATAAGAAATGATAAACAGTAGGGTTCAGTAGCAAGTGTTGAACAATAATGGGAAGCCATTGATTAAAAAACTATTAATAACAACTTAATTATTAATCTTGACTCCATTGGTTTACACGGTTTCAATAATGGGATTAGGCTTGGTGTGGCTGTTATTGATACTGTTTTCTAAACTACTTTTTTGACTTTTTTTTCTAACTGTTTGTGTAATTTTCTTTGTATTTTGTCTTTAGATCTGTAGTGGCTGATCAGTCTCATAAGCCATCCTAGCATTGGTAAAACACTAGTAAATAAGATAGTCAGATGAGAGAAAGAAAATAAAAGTTAGTAATGAAGCTTAGTGAAACTATTTCCTTGTTATTAGTGGAGTACCTGAGGGATTAGTGCTTCAGCTTTTGCTTACATTGGTGATATTGTTAAGGCTGTTGCAAATTAGTAGGGCAAATAGTATTTTAGATTGTGTCTACAGAAATTGAATACAAGACTAAAGATGTTATAATTTCATTTTATAGGATACTGGTTAAGTTACATTTGGAGTATTGTGTTCAGTCTTGGGCTCCTTACCTTAGAAAGGATAGTGAATTGTTGGAAAGAGTTCAGATAAGGGTTACTAAGATGGTGCCTGGGATAGATGGGTTGCCATACGAGGAGAGGCTAAGATCTCTGAAATTTTCTCTTGAAAAAGGAATAGTTAGAGGGATCTGATTGTTGGAAAGAGTTCAGACAAGGGTTACTAAGATGGTGCCTAGGATAGAGGGGTTGCCATACGAGGAGAAGTTAAGATCTCTGAAATTTTCTCTTGAAAAAGGAATAGTTAGAGGGATCTGACTGGGGTGTTTAAGATTCTGAAGGAAATTGATAGTGTTAATGCATCATCTTTTTTCATACTTAATGGTTGAGAATAATAGGACTAGGGGACACAAATTAAATTTTGACAGGATAGGAGTCATTTTCAATTAAGACCATTTTATTTTTCTAACACTAACAGGGTGGTTGGCCTTTGGATGTTGTTGAGGCAGTAAATTTAATTGAGTTTAAGAGAAAGCTTGATAACTTGAAAGATAAGGGCTTGCTTTGTAGGTTTTTTTATTTAATAGTTCTAGTTTAGTTTAGAGGATGGAACAACATAAATGGACCAGTAGATCTCGTGTTGTCCTTAAACTTTGTTATGCCCTATGTTGTCCTTAAACATTGTCCTATGTTGTCCTTAAACATTATGTTATGTCCTATGTTGTCCTTAAACATTATTATGTACTATGTTGTCCTCAAACATTATGTTATGTAATACATGCCAGCAAAGCAGTTCTCTGTTGCTAGTACATAGTATTAGTAACAAAGCTAATATAATTTTTGATTGTATTTATAGACTGATTACAGTTCAAAAGAGATAATTATCTTTATACAAAACACTATTCAGGCCTCACTTGTATTACTCTGTATAGTTTTGGTTTCCTTATGCAAAAAAAATAATGATTTATTATTGGGAAAATGTTCAGAGGAAAATGTACAGAATGATTTTTGGAGAAAAGAAAACTAAGAGGTGATCTTATTTAAGTTTATAAGCTTATCTGGGGAATTGTTAGGATAAAGGCCTCTAATTTATTTGTACTGTATTCTGAAAGTTACAGAGGACACAAATATAAGATGGGAAACAGACTAGGCTTCAATTAAGATTATATTTTTCTAACAGGGTAATTGGCTTATGGAATGAGAAACAATTAGCAGTAGTGTAGTCCAGCACTTTACAATAATTTGAAAGAGAGATTGAAAACTCTCTGAAAAATACAAATTAGGTTTAAATTTTTACTTTTTCTCAAGGATGGATGTGCAGGGACAACTTTGATGGACCAGAAGGACCCTTGTTATTGATATGTTACATTATTTGTATAATCACACATTTACTTTTACTCTAGATTAGTTATTAATGTAATGTTCAATATAATTCACGGTGTTAGAAAAACACGTAGGTTCAAGGAGTCTTGATAGAAATGAATAAAAACCCTATAACCAGAGTGCTTTCGAAAGTTTGCTTCTGAAGAAGAAAGGTCCACCTTTCGAAAATGTTCAGTATAATGAACTTCTGATAAAGTTTCTCACATACATTGGTAATTTGTTCATTTGGTAATGCCAGTTGGTATGGTTATCTGTTTTACATTTTATCTCATTTGTAATAACTATTATGAACTTTATTCTGAATAACCTTCATAACCCTTTCCCTTACCATAACTTTTAAAATGTTGAAACTAACATTTTTGTGAATGTTTGCAGAATTCAACAGTTATGTTATATGGTGCTGTAAATATGGGAATTTTTGCAAGTTTAGTGTAAAATATTTACAAAATTCTCTAATGTTTTACATATTCAATAATTTTTAAACCTGTAGGATAGTATAAACTTACTAAACTACAAGTGTAAAACTATCAAGACTGAATTATTTTCACTGTATATCATTTAAAGTAGGATCCAACCCAAGTGTTTTGTAAATGTGTATCTATCTTATCAGTATAATTATTTGTACTCTTAAAATCTTTAATTAGTGAGGGTAGATGTCTGGGGACAACCATGAATGACTAAATGGTCCCTTGTATGTATGTTGTGATATTTAAATTATGTGTATTAAAACATTTATAATTAATGCACCATCACAGGTACAAAAGTTGGAATGTCGGACAAAGAAAATCACAAACAACAAAAGTGGGATACAAAAAGAATTAGAAACATTAAGACAAAATCAAAAAACTCTGAGTTTCCACATAATTCACCTTATCTTCAGTCGAAGAGGAAAGCTGAAAAAAATGAGTTCTCAGTAATTCATGGAAGATCTGAAAATGAGTCCTCATCTCTTGATGATCAAACTCTTAGCCCATATCCTGAGCTTTTAAAGTCTCCTGTTTTGTCACCAGAGGTCCAGCAAATGCTCAAAGATCTGGGAGTTACCTTAAATCCTGTTGAAGAGAGCCGCTTATCATACCTTTCGACAAACAGAAAACTTAGTCCACTATTTCAGAACATATCTAAAAAATTTCAAGACACTACAAATTCAGCTAGTACTTTGAAGTCCTTGAATCTTCATAGTTTCATAGAAAGTTCAACACCAAATTATCCTTCAGATAACAATTCTTCATACCAGCAGAGTTTTGAAAGGGAAAAATTTCGGAGACAGGTATGGCCATATAATTTGTACCAATATCATTTGTTAAATTAATTAATGTAACAACTTGTTTAACAGGAACTTATTATTTCAGTTTGTCATGGTTTGTTAAAGAAAATCAGGCCATTATTAAGTTATGAATTTACCTTTTGAAACAATATCATTTTTGCATATATTTTTGTGAGAAAAAAGTGAATGAAAAATTTAAGTATTTAGTAAATTTAGTGCTCTTCTTAATTTGTATGCATTGTATATTTTTCATTTCCAGCATTGTGAGAAAGTTATTGAAGATTTACAACATGAGGTAAGTGAAGAATTTTATATACAATATGTTCATAACTTATATCCACTAAAACTGTAGATATATATATGTATATTTATGTTTAGTTTCTATTGAAGGAAACAAGACGGGAACAAAGTGTCAAAATATACACTTTGTACAATGATGTACCACATATATGGTATAGCTGTAAGGGCATTGTAAATGTCAAGGTGAGAAATTGTCTTTTTGTAACTTATTTCCAACCTAATAGCTTAGATGGCACAACGTTTCACTTTCAGTTTATCCTGTTATGTGACAATCCAACATATTGACATTCAAGCAGAGGATATTCCATCCCTGAGGGCTATCTTGGATTTTATTTTAAAACTTGTTGTTAGCACTTGGGAGAATATCATCAGAAAGGTGATTGTACAAGAACACTTGAATACTAGTATTCATAATCTTATTACCTGTTTGAGAGTCAATAAGAGTAGTGTGCTCCATTTTAAGAAAGAAACTGCAAGGTATAAGAAAAAAGAGAAAGATTGCTTGGCTACATGTGAATATGAAATTTTTAATGAAGCATACTTTGGGATTCCATTACTAGTCTACTATTTGGTTTCAAAATATTTTATTCCCAGGAACACCCATTTTTAAATGAATAAAAGAGGGAGCTAGGTTACTAATAAATACAAAATTCCAAACTTACAAGATTATAAAATTTAATAGTGGAAACAGAATGATTGTGCTATTAAGATAAATAATTTAATAAAGCTTCTGACAAAGAAAAGGAAGTTTATAAAAATTTTACTGTAACTAAATGTTAGTTCTATACATTTGTCTTAACTGCACAAAGAGGTTCATGATTAATATTCGTATTTTAAAAGATATTAAATGAACCTTGTTTTACAGAAAGAGGAACATGACTGTAGTGATATATTAATGTTTTATAAAGGTTTTCTACTTGTTTAAAATTTAGGAAAGGAATTATCCATACATTATTATTCTGTTTATAATAAAACTATTTTAAAAAGGCTTAGGTTATATTAAATCTCCCAACCCTGACAGTATTTATTATAAAATTGTAAAGAAGTGTAAAAACACTAGTAGATGCTTAAAGGTTTTTAGACACCGGTAAAATTCCTGGTGATTGAAAGATGGCCAGTGTGGTCCCTATTTTAAAGAAGAAAAGAGTTGAGAGAAGATTCGGGATACCATAGGCTTCTTGCACGTAGTTTTATTTCTGCCGTTGGCCTGGCACGGCCAGATGGTTAAGGCACTCGACTCACAATCTGCGGGTCGCAGGTTCAAATCCACATCCCATCAAACATGCTTGCCTTTTCATCTGTGGGGACATTGTAATATGATAATCAACCCCCCTATTAGTTGGTAAAATAATAGCCCTAGAGTTGGTGGTGGATGGTGATGACTAGCTGCCTTCTCCCTAGTTTTTCACTGCTAAACTAGTGATGGCTAGTGCAGATAGCCCTCTTGTAACTTTGTGTGAAATTTAATACAAATCAAACCAAACTTCTGTTGTTAACAAGGTATTGTACTGTATTGTTAAAAGTCATTTACAAAAGTATTTGAAAGATATTTAATTAGTGATTCCCAGCATGATTTTAGAGATGGTTTTTCATTACGTACTAACTTCAGGTTTTATGGTAAGGCTTATATTGTTTCTCGGATGAAGACATCCTGGATGATACAATGTATCGTGGCTTTAAGAAAAATTTGATAAAGTGCTTTGTATGAAAGTAACTAGTAAGTTGGAATTGGAAAGAAAGTTAAAAAAAATGGTAGAAAATTGCATATTATTGTAAAATAATGAGTGAAGATATCCATTTTTATTCTGGAATAAGTGACTATTGGTTCTCTCATCTTTGTTTGTTTTCTTGATTTTCATTTATTTCTGACAATGATTTGGATAGCTTCTTGTATAATAGACCAGAATATGAAAAATAAGTTTGAGTATTGGAAAGTGTAACAGTATGCAGTTGCATGTGATAATTTATTTGGAAGAAGAAATAATTGTGTGGAAAAACACATGAATTTCATTGTGATTATTCATAAAATCCTAAACCCTAGCATGAGTATTTAACTGTGGTGAGAAGATCCATCAGAATTCTGGGTTTTTAGTTATAAAAATTATAATGTAATAAAGGACTTAAGTGATGTCTCATTTATGTACAGTTTTGGTTTCTATAAGAGTAATAATATCGATATATTGTGAAACGTGCAGGGGCTTAAAGTTTTGAACTTGCCTCTGTAGAACATTGATATATATATAAAGTTGTTAGGATTTGGTATAGTCTGTTTTGAATTGTGAATAAAATGTTTGGAAATATGAACTTAAAAATTTGGGGATGTTGGTTTAACATTTGAAAGATTAGATTCATGTGTTCTTCAACATACTTATTTTTGATTACTTATATTTGAAACTGAGGAATTATTAACCAGATGTTATGTGTGCAGCTAGTTTGGATTATTTTAAACTCTGTGTTGGATATAGAAAAACTTGTGTAGATGGCTACCTATATATATAGTGTAGTGTTTTGTTTAAGTGCTTTCACAGATAGGCTAAATGGCTTTTTGTTGCTTTGCTGTTTCTCATATTAGCTTGGTCCAGATGCTGACTTAATATAACTTAGTACATGTAATTGCTTTATTGATGTCATATTACTTAGCTAACTGTTTTTGCATAAGGTTGTAGGATCATGTTTTCAGAATGAGGTTCAGGTTTTTGTTGTATCTGGTTGGCTCAAGAAAAAGCCTTTACTGACATTAGGAATTGTAATGTAAAGTGATGTTATCTGCTTTGAATTTTAGATCTGATAGCTCAGCTTGTAAAGCATTGATTTTAATTTTATGATTTGTTATGATATACACCTGACCTGTAACCGTATGTATCACGTACATATAATGTGAATATTAGTATTTCATTTATTGAATTAAATCACACATTTTTTTAAGTTTAAAAAAATGTTTAAACAATAATATTATTCATAGCTATCATTTCCATTTTATGATCAGGAAGGAAATGTTTAAGTTTTTTTGTGATGTAGTGTGAAATAATGTGTAAATATAAGGTTTAATGTGGTCTCAAAATATTTTCTTGGATTACTATCATTGTAGGTTTATTTTTGTTTTGTTTTTCTGTATAATGAATACATATGTAAGGCTGAATGTTATGCCATCTGCACCTTTTGGCTGTTGTGCACATGACACCTGACTCATTTATAACAGTTGTAAGGAACTAAGCATTATTTCCAATAATGTTCCTGTTACAGAACAAGATCATCATATAGTGTGTACATTTATTTGTATAATTTGGACTGCAATGGATATTGTTTTCCTGGTTAGTAGCCTATACAATCACTTAGATATAATTATTTATTAATTACTAATTTATTTATTTTCTGTTATGGATACTGATCTGCTTGTAACCTACATTACTATGTCTCAGTTGCTAATCTACTGTGGCATTCAAGGAAGTACTAAGTCAAACTGTATGTGGTGGCAGGAGCTTGGATTCAATCCTGGGTCTTCTTGTTGGAAAGGCTAGTGTGTTATATACTTGTTTTGAGTCTTCTCCATTATGACTTGAACTAACTATTTGGATATTTCAAAAGGAGGGTATACAGGTTTTGCTGACTTCTATGCTAGGTTGATTGTCTATATTATCAGTTAGGTGTATTTAGAAAGTCTGTCTTTCTTTTTCTCTTATGTGGCTTCTATATCCAATTATTTCGTTATTGTTCGATTTTGTTATATGGTATTCTTCCCTGACATAATGTGCGATTGCAGATACATTGTTATTTCGAGGATTGCAACTTGTTAAGTATTTTATGGAACCATTCTTTATTTAGCAATAAAATACAGTATTCTATTTCAGATAAAAGTGGAACCCAGCTTATTCCTTATTTTGTATAGGATGTCTCAATGTTTCTTTAAACTTTTTCAGAGTCCAAGTTCATAAGGAGGTTATAAATGATACTTTTATTCTCCACATCTATAAGTATTTTGATTTGCACAAACTACAGTCATACTGTTTAACGGCTTCTGAATTTCATTCTGATTTTTTTTGCTATATGGATATCCTCTGTATGCGTTTGGAGAGACTTTTAACAAAGGAACATATATCTGTGTTTCTGTAATTTTCTTCCTGCTAATTTTAGGTGTTTGTTTTGCTCTATCAAGTGTTCAGGGTATCCGTTATCAAGGAGTGTTGTAGTGATGTGTTTCTTGTATGTAGCATCTTCTGTACAACAGATCTTGCTAATTCTGGATACTAGGTAGTTTTACACCTATCTTTACACTGTTTGAGTGATTTTACTGAAAGTCAAGAAATCCTTGCATTTCTTTATATTTTCATGTTATATGAGTTTTATTTCTGATAATGTGATACATGTATCTACTTCTCTGGGGTCTTCTCCATTAGGTCTGGAATCAATCATTTATTTGAATTATTTCAGGAGGAGTACCTAGATTTTGCTGACCTCTGTGCTAGGTATACTGACCGTGATTCTAGAATTTACAACTTTTTGTAGCAACACAACTCCTAAAATAAATATAGCTACTACCAACAACAAGGTCTAGCCATGGGCTTACTCTTTGCATCAGTACACATCAACATCTGCATGGAACATTTCAAAGACAACACCCTGACCCTTAGATCAGCTGCTCTGTGACTCAGAATGTAGCTTATACACATTGATAATGCAATCATTATATGGATAAAAACTACAGACAAAATTCCAGAACTCTTTAACCACCTGAACAGACAGTATCCATCAGTACAATCAACAGAAATAAAAGACACTCAAATTACTAGACACCATGGTTTCCAAGACGCATAACTTGTATGCCTCAATAATTTACAAGAAACTCACAGATGCTGGTAACTATTTGTATTATACATGTAAATCAAACCACTCCAGCAGTGTAGGCAGGCATTATGAACTGGCTAGTCTTCAGAATTAACAAGATCTGTAATACAGAGGATGCTAAGAAGAAGAAAGAAAAACAAGATGTCAGCTCTTTTTGACAATGGATACCCTGAATATTTGATAAAGTAGAAAAACACTGAGAATTAGCAGAAAACAAATTACAGCAGACACACACGGCTTCTGAGGGCTATCATGGACCCCAAGCAAGAATAGTTTTTGTAATGCTGTCATGTACATGAATAAGTGATTGCAGACATGGTTAGTATTTGCTCAGGTGTTTTGTATTGATTTGATATGTTCTATACACATAGTTTTGCTACTTTCATGGGCAGTTGGCTCCAGGAAAATATTCCCAGCCTCCTTTTCCTTTTAGTAGGCTCACAGAAAGCCATATTTTCCTAGTTGGAGGTCTTTCTGAAAACATATAAAGTATATTTGAACAGCTAAAAGCATCAGAACAGTACTCAAGAGCCACAATGCAATACAGTTGTAGTAACTACATGCCAATACATTTAAAGACCTGATGGAGAATAAAAACATCATTTATGTATGTGTGGACACCAATAAACTGGAGAAAAAAACTATTTAAATACCTATCTTTTGGGAAGGAGACTATACAATTAAATGGAGTCGTACTAAAATAATGGGGATGTGATCTACATACAAGACAAGAAAATAAACCTTTGGTACCCATCAAACTGATGACATGCGTACTCAATAAAGAAGTCATCAAAACCTGGATACCCCTCCTCAGACTTCATATAGTTAACTAAAGTCCTCATGGGGGAGACCATTGATAAGCGAGCAACACACCATCCTTTCTAACAAGAAAGCTCTAGACTGAATTCCCCGTCACTGCTTATAAAACTTACCTGAAGACAGCAACAAATTAGTAGTTGTATCAAAGGATATAAATTCATCAGTAATAAATATGAAATATAGCAATTAATCAATAATTAGACTTAGATAATTGTAGAGGCTATTAACCATAATAATAATATCTGATAACCACAACCATGATGTTGGAAAAACATGTAGGTTGAAGAAATCTTGATAGAAATGAATAAAAACCCCATAACCCGAGTGCTTCAGGGGAAAACCACAACTTTACCATAAGTACTGTGATAGTAATTCATATGAATAATATTGTTATGAGTAGTGTTTGAAATTGATTTTTGCTTACAAACATATACAGGTATATTGTTTGAATACAAAAACACACTATATAAATTCAGATTATTTTTCTACAGAATAAGAAAACAGTTTTTGTTTCTTTGGGTAGTAATAACTCGCATTATGGTAATAAGTTATCAAGAATATGATGTTTCTCTCTTTAATTTGGTTTAAGTAGATAATAAAAGGAATATTACAAAGACGTGGATTATCTAATATCCCACATTCAGAGTCACCCACATTTAAATTAAGTTTGCAAAAACATTTGACTACATACTTAAATTTATGAGTGAAATGAGTTTGGAATATTTCAATATAGCTGTTAGAGCGGGATCAGAATATAGCTGTTCTAGAAGCAGAGAGTAAGAAAAAAGACGAGGCACTTCAAGAACTCCAAGTGGTGAGAAAACAGTTTTGTACTATAATGCTTATTGTTCATGGCTTAAAAATGTTATCATTACTATAATGTACTTTTGGTGGCTGCATAAAGAAAAATGTCTTCAGAGAAATGTTGGGTAAGTAAATGATAGGGATGATTTTATGTTAACAACATTAATATTTTAATGCTCCAAAGAAAATGGGTAATAAAACAAGACTGCTGTTTTTTTTATTGTATCGTTCATTGACCTATATAACTGTACAATAAAACTTTTTGTTGTGTTTCGTATCGATGAGTGTGCATGAAATGTTTTTAGATGCTACTGTTAAGTGTATAAATAATATAGCAAAGTGAAAAAATGTTTGTGTATTTTAAAAGAACTTGCAAATTGTACAAAGATGAAAGATTGGTATATTTACAGTTTAGGGAATACGTCTTTCATTCAAAAAGTATATTCACACTTTTTCTTTTTTAATAAAAGACTTTTCAGAAAGTTTGTGAAGCGTGGGAGAATGTTGCTTTACCGAATGTAGAGAAGTTAAGAGAGGTAACAGAAGAAAGAGATAATCTAATTAACCAGTTACAATCAGTCGAACAGGTGAGATCCAATAGATGTTTTTCAGCTTATTGTTACATGTAAGTTTCAGTAGTTAAACAAAAGTAATTTATCTTTAAAATATTCTTTTTAAACCATTTAATCCTGCCTTATCTTCATTATTTTGGTTTCATATAGGTAAATTGTATAATATAAGGTATTAAATGCTTTATTTCATTGTTTTCTTTGGTGTAATATTGTTGAAATATCTTAATGTATCTTTTAATTTCTAGTTTATATCCGTCAATCAAACTTTTTATGGATTATTGAAACAATTGTAAACACTAATTTTGATTAGTTGATTGTTTTTGTAATGGTTCTACTCTTAATTTCAATTAGCTAATTTAATCTTAATTTCAATTAATCAACTAGTTTACATGACACTAATTGATGTACTCACTGCTCATAGGTAATAGATTAAGTTGCCAAGCTCTTTATGCCATTCATCAAGTTACTGTCACAATATCTTACAAGCACAAACACTACAGTGGTCGCTGACCATCATCATCATGATGCGAGACTCATGTTGTATTAGATCAAATTAAAATTCTCAATTAGATTTCATGAACATTAGTTAAGAACCAAAGACAGGATTATTGTTCAGAAACTTTAGCCTTTTGTAAATGAGAAATTCAGTGCTTGTTAAATAATTTTAACCTTCAAATCCTGACTTATTTTTATACCATTCGTTACTGAAGGAGTTTGTATATATATATTTTTTTTTTTGACAACACCCAGTAAAGAAAATATAAAAAAATGGGCGATTTTTATAGTGAAATTAATTCCATTAGTGATAAAATGTTTTGGTCATTTTCATACTTTTTGTGAAGCATACATTATGATGGATCTTGTAATCAGCAAAGTCATAGACTTATAAGCAGTTTGTGCATAAATAGTTCAGAAAGATGTGTTTAGAAACTGATGGAAGTCATTGGTAATTTTAGAGTTAACATTTAAAATATATGTCTTGTATGACAGATAACTTGCTTAAACTTTAAAAGTCAAGAAACAACTAAAATAGGAGAGAAATATATTTCATTTAAAGACTGTTTTGCCACTGTTAACGTGGCATCATCACGTGCTAAAACATTGTTTTTTTATACGTAAGGCTTTCATTTTGCTTACATAAGCTATAGGGTCCTAGAACATTAACATTTAAGTAAAAACTGTATCACAAGATTTACTAAATACTTAAAATTTTCAAATGATACATTAGGTTATTTATCTAAAACAAAAGGTATAATTGGGAAATGCGTGTGGTTTCTTTGTTGACCAGTTGCAAAGAGTTTTTTTTTAGGTTTGTCAATATTACTTGAATATAAACAGTACACAAAATATTATGAAAAGGAGCAGTTAAAACATGTGGATTAACCTGTTTTTTTTTTGTAACTCTAAGTTTGATTCACAGCTGAATACAATTTTCTGTAGTGTGAAAATTGTAAAGTAGAAATTGAAAGAAAATTGATGGGTTGCCAAAAAAGACCTCAACTTAATATTGAAGAGATTTAGTCAATAGTACTTTGTTCTTTCACCTCTTTAATTTCTTTAAGTTCACAAGATTTTAGTAATTGTGCTTGCCTTTGATGTAAAGTTACCATGCAGTGATTCCAGTTAGAAGTGAGACTGTTTTTAGGCAACTTTTATATGATTGTAAGGTGAAACGTTTTCTCACACAATTCTTTAATAAGCGATATTGATAATTAACAAGAGATTTTACGTATAGTTTCAAATCATGTTCTGTTGAGGTTTACAAGTGGTCTGTATTTTGTCAGATAAAATTTAATGGCAAGAAACAAATTCCTAAATAGTTCTCTGAGTGGAATGGAAATTCTGTTCATTTATGTATCTTGGAAATTCGAAAGGGATGAGAATAAATTCTTACGCTCTGTGGGATTACTGTACTTTCTAGTTTTTTACGTACTTCCAGATATTTTGTATTGTAATAGAAAAGCATATTTTAACATTATTATTGTAAGTGATGTTATAACTATCAAGTCTTCTTCTGTTACTAGATAGTGGAGAATCTGAAGACTGAATTGGATACAAAAGAAAATGAGCTTAAAAGTTCCTTAAACAAAGAAGGTGAACTTAAAGTTGAGGTACTGTTTAACTCTTTCAGCATGGGCTCGGTCCCTGGGACCGACCTCGTAACCATTTTGTGCTTATTATAGTTTCCAT